GTTCCTTCCCTTAACACCAAACCTGCCCATCACCTCCTCATCACCTTTGTTCCCCTCACCAACGTGCCCATTGAAGTCTGTCCCAGTCACCACTCTCTCCCCTCTGGGAATACTCTCCATCACCTCATCTAACTCACTCCAGAATCTCTCCTTCTCTTCTAACTCACACCCTACTTGTGGAGCATAACCACTGACTACATTCAACATTACCCCTTCAATTTCCAACTTCAAACTGATCACCCTGTCTGACACTCTTTTCACCTCTAAAACATTCCTCACCAGCTCCTCCTTCAGGATCACTCCTACCCCATTTCTCTTCCTGTCCACACCATAATAAAACAGTTTGTATCCCCCTCCAATGCTATGCGCTTTGCTACCCTTCCACCTGGTCTCCTGAACACACAGTATATCTGCCTTCCTTCTCTCCATCATGTCCACCAGCTCTCCACCTTTCCCTGTCATTGTGCCAACATTAAGAGTCCCTATTCTCAGACCTATACTCCTGCTTTTCCTCTTCTCTCTCTGTTCTTCAAATCCTTTTACCTCCTCTCCTTCTTTAACCAACAGTAGTGCAGTTTCCACCAGCACCCTGTAGGTCAACAGCACTGGTGGCGGTCGTTGTTAACCCAGGCCTCAACCGATCCGGTATGGAATTCACACTGATGATTCGCATGTTTAAATTTGGCATGTTTTTACGCCAGATGCCCTTCCTGACGCAACCCTCTCTATTTATCCGGGCTTGGGACCGGCACAGAAGTCACTTGCTTGAAACCCATGTGCCTAGATTGGATTTACTTATACTATACTTACTAGTATATCATACTGTTAATAGTACCTCACTGCATAGACTGTCATACTCCATCATACCGATTTGTGCTTGTACTGGGCTATGTTAAGGAACTAGATTCGCTGTTCAGTGTTTCCACTGCTAGCAGATACCCATAAGTCACTATGCCTTGAGAGGTTGAACTTCATAAAGGCACTGTTCTGGAAATAAACCTACACATTGCATCCTCCTGGCTTTGGGATTTAGAGTGCTGACCTTTAAATGCAATGTCCTTGGGTTCACATTAGTGATGTCCAATTGACACCATGACACCTGTATCGAACCACATAAGCATTTGTATCGAGTATTGGTTCATTCATTCAAACGTTCAGTTTAGTGCCATGTGGTGGCGAAATAGAATGCAGCAGAACAACATCTGAATGATGTGATGGGTGTAACTAGGCTTTGTGTGAATATTGTGAAAACATTTGTAAAGATTGATTGGTCAGTCAGTCGAGTCTATGAACGTATGTAGTGTACTAGGTGAGAGAAGGCGTGCTTGGGGAAACAGAGGATGTGCTAGGATGGTAATATGTGCGTATGTAACTAGGACAGGGTGTGAATAAATACAAGGGATGGAGAATCAGTCATTTTTATTCAAGAACAAAAGTTTCTCCACTGTCTTTGGACCGATCAGCTGAAAGTGTTCCCACATTGGAGAACAGGGTCTCTTCCTAGCTGGCTCCATGGTGATCACACACCAGCAGCAATGATCATACCGACAGCAACTACACACACACACCTACTACGCTGACAAACCCACATGTTGCGCATCATCTTGGGTGGCTTTATAGTACCCCTACGCACATGCTGACGCACGCAGTGAGATCTCTCGTTGTGACACCGTATCGACGGTTTGAACCGGTCACGGGAGTCACTCAGGCCAGCCGTTTCTACGTCGGACATCATCAGTCACGTGTCTTTTCGGCAACCATACAAGCCTCGGGGCAGTGGTTCCCTCTCCGAGCTTGAATCATGTATCGAGACCTCGGTGTCAGATGGCCATTACTAGTTCACATCTGCAGTCCTGTAGCTTGCATACGTTTAGTTGACATTCTGATACACTTGTAATAGTGCTGATGAAATTAAAATCCCATTAGCCCCTTTGCTGCCAGAGGAACTTATCTCAGGGAGCAGGAGCCTTTTCTGCGACGTAGTTCCTCTACCAGCATTTCCACCAGAGGATCTGGGTTCTAAATTTAGTTGCAGGGCATAGTTTTGAAAGTTGAACCATTAGTCAAGATGCCCGTCAGTCGACTGAGACTCTTCCTGGCTAACCTTTTGTCTTTATTTTATTTTTTGTCAGCCAGTGTGCATTACAATAGAAGCCCTGTTTCTTTGTCATCTTCTTCTCATACTTTTGGTGTGCCAAGCAGCAGTTTGCTCAGTACCTCCTCCTGTGGCTTGGGGGAATACCCACAATAATGACACTTTATGATGCGGGTCTTTATGAAGGTCTGGTGACACTATTTAGCAAATTGCTGCCCAAAACGAGGAGAAAAAGACAACAAAATCCTCTAAGACAAGATGCACAAAGGTGAAGTTTGTACTTTATTACAAGTGTTTTCAAACATCATGGTGTACTTTTACAAGAGAAAAGAATGGTCGCAACAATGTGGCTGGTTTTGCATATGTGCATCTGGTTTGTTTGTCCATTTCTGTTAAAGTGTAATGCACAGCCATTTATCTTATTGTCACTGTTGTGCACAACCTTGTGTCCATTTTTTTTCCATAAATCAATGCTCTTGATCACCCTTTATACCTCTCTGTCGGTTTTACAAACATTTAACCAATAAAAAGCATTAAAAAGGCTCGTGACTAATTTTCATAACTCCATTGGATCTTGAATCTTTCAGCAAAATCTCATATGAGCTTGATTTAGGTAAAATGTTAACAATATAGAGTCGTGAGTAAGTGACCATATATAAACACACAATAGCAACTTTGACAACATGTTGTTGAATTATTTTAGATACACAAGGTTTTTTAACTTCCTGAAAAGTAGCGGTTTTGGCTATACAAGGATTCTGCCTGACAGCAACATTATGTTTCTGGGGTAAAGTCCCTCGGTTTTGGCTATACAAAGATTCTGCCTGACAGCAATATTATGTTTCTGGGGTAAAAGTTCCTCGAGTGCATTTTGAATTCTAAAGCAAGGCAACGCAAAAATCTAAACACAAAAGAAGTAATAATGGTAATAATTGCATTTCTTTCCCTTTTACAGGCACCCAGCATTGATGTCTATCAAGATTTAAAAAGCAGCAGACATTTTGACAACAGGTACATACATTTTTAATTTGTTAGGTACGTGTGTGGTCTCTTTTGGCGCTACTATTCATAAAAATGTTTGTATATTAAGTTGATAAAACACAGTCATGATCTTTCATGTCTTTATTGAACACACCCATTAAACATACAAATTGATGGTGAGCAAAGTAATGGAAACTGTGTTTTAGTAACTGGTTGAACCACCTTTGGCAGGAATGACCTCAAACAAGCGCTTCTTGTACCTGTGGATTAGACTTGCACAATATTCAGAAGGGATCTTGGACCATTGTTCCTCACAGAACTGCCTCAGCTCAGCCATATCCTTAGGGCGTCTGGTGTGAATGGCTCTTGAGGTCATTCCACAGCATGTTTATTGGGTTGAGGTCTGGGCTCTCTGGCTGGGCCACTCCAAAAGGTGGATTTTGTGTCTCTGAAGCCATTCTGTAGTAGATTTACTTTGATGTGTAGGGTTATTGTCCTGCTGTATCACCCAGCTTGTTCTGAGCTTCAGCTTTCAGACAGCCACCCTGACATGATCCTGTAGGATACCTTGATAAACTTGAGATGACTCCATGACCCCTTCCAGCTACATGCAAATCAATAACTCCTCATCGTAGGTCTTCTGAGATCTCTTTTTGTGAGGCATGGCTCACATCAGCTGATGCTGCTTGTGAATAGCACACTGACAATGGTCGAGTGCTTTTATAAGTCAAGGTGGTTTTAAACTACGCCTCCTTTCTTGTTTCATTGACTGTACTCCAGGTTTGCCAACACCTCACCCCAGTTGACATTTAGGGACATCAGAAGCCTGGTGTTGCCATTACTTTTTCTACCATCACTTTGTATGTTTAATGGGTGTGGTTAATAAAGACCTGAAGGATCATGACTGTTTGTGTTTTATCAGTTTAGAAACATTGTGTTTGTTTATATATGTGACTTTGGTAAAGCTCACACCATATTTCATGAACAATTTATGCAGAACACCAGGAAACCGAAAACCGTGCCAGTATTTTTTCTATCAACTATATTCTTAAAATTAATAGTTTTTGTTTTGTTTTTGCCTCCAGGCCACTGTACTAATCGCCACTATCAACACTGGCCATGAAGTTCATCCAGAGCTTTTATCAGTCCACGGCAGCCTGACATATCCTAATCAAATTGCTGTTTTTTGAGAGTTAGTTTTTTGACTTTTGCTTGTGTTTTTCTGGAATGTTCTTTTGAGTTCTAACTTCAGATGATATTCACTTGACTTTTGCTTAACTTCAGATGATATTCACTTGATTTTTCTGGAATGTTCTTTTGAGTTCTAACTTCAGATGATATTCACTTGATTTGGCAAGCTTCTGGCAAACTATTCAAGCATGTTCTGCATTTGTCCTTGGTTTTCTTCTAGTATAATAAGAAGGCTTGTTTGGATCCAACCATCCACCTGTGCAAGAGAGAGGGGTAAGCGGGAGTCCAAAATCAAGCTGTACAGCAGTTGGTGATACCCAGACAGGATTTTGAAGCTTTAGGAAGTTATCACTGTGACACCCATTTCATTTTGTATTATGGTGACCACCAGGTATATCCCTTAAATAAGCAAAATACTGCCTTCACATTACAAAGTAATCCACTAGAAACTTGTGCTTGCATGTCTGTGACTGATCACGGTATCAGCTTGATGTTGCAGTGTGCTGTAGCAAATGTTGATCCTGAAAGTGCGGTTATGCTTGATGCATTGGCCACGTCATGTGTCAACTCTGATGTCAACACAGAGTCAGAACCGTTTATATTTGCACTTTGTCAGCCACAGAAGCTACAGTCCTGTTAGCATCTTAGAAAATGTGACCTTTTCAAAATGCTTGATCTAACAGTCCAGAACCCAAAGATAAGGAGTTTTAAATTGTTCCACCTCTTGCACAAGCTCCAGTGTTTTTCACATATACACATCTAGTATCCATAGCTACAGTCATGACCAAAAATATTGGCACCTCTGCATTTTTGTCAGATAACGCACCCACTTTTCCAAGAAAATTGTTGCAAACACAAAGTCTTTGGTATTCTCATGTTTATTTCTTTTGTTTTGCATTGAAACAAAAAAGCAGTGGGGGGAAAGCAAAAACTGATCCATTCCACACAGAACTTAAAAAATGGACCAGACAGAATTATTGACATCTTTTCTAAATCATCAGAAATAGTTTTATTTCCAGCCTGTGGTGCTCCTTTAATTTGTAATGAAACTTGCCTGTAACAGTCAACAGGTGCTGGCAATATAGAAATCACACTTGCAACCAGTTAAAATGGAAAAAAGTTGACTCTACCTTTGTATTATATGTACCACACTGAGCATGGAGAAAAGAAAGCAGAGTAAAGAATTGTCTGGGGATTTGAGAACCACAATAGTGGGGAGGCATGGACGATCTCGAGGCTACAAGTCCATCTCCAGGCTGTTCCTGTGTCCACTGTGCACAACACTGTCAAGACGTTTACAGCGAATGGTGCTGTAGCTACCCTCCCTGGACATGGATGAAAGAAACACAGATGACAGATTGCAACAGAAATCTGAGAGACCTGGAGTAGAAGAGTGGTCTAATATTCCAGCAGAGGGGTGTAAGAAACTCACTGATGGAAGTGATTTTTTTTTCATTTATTTTGTCCAAAGAATGTGCTACCAAATATTAAGGTGAAGGTGTCAATAATTCTGTCCAGTCCATTTTTGGAGTTCTGTGAGGAATTGATCAGATTTGGCTTTTTCTCTACTTTTTGTGTTGTTCCATTGCAAACAAAAAATAAATAAACATGAGAATACATAAGAATTTGTGATTGCAACTGTTTTCTGGGAGAAATGGTATGTTATCTGACAGAAATACAGAGGTGCCAATATTTTTGGCCATGACTGCAGGTGTTGGTGCACCAAGCCCTTCTGCCTTAGCCCACCACTTGGCCAGCAAGGTATAGACCCTGTTACCTCTCTTTTTGGGTGGTAAGCCCACATATCAGCATCCTTATGCTTGTTTTTTCAGGCTTAACCTGACGAGGCCCCATGGCTGCAGATCTGGTCAAAAGGTGCTCATCTGTAGGGCATCCCCAACCCCCACACCTAACGCAGGTCCTTACCAGATCTCACCGTTGGCCTGTGAGCAATTTTGCAATGGTGGACACTACTAGAAGTTGTTGTAATAAAAATAATTATATATTTCATTGCAGGTTTCCATTCTGATGTAACCCACATAATCCCGGATAGTCCTTGCATGTCGAAGAAAAGGTAAGAATTAGCGTGTACATTTTTTGATTAGTGGTAGTAGTTTCTTTTTATAATTTGTTTTATAATTCTATGCTTCTGTTTTCAGGAGTGGGTGAAATAGCCCTAGCTTCCTCTGTCTGAGAATGGCTCATGGATGGGATTCATACTTCCATAACATCCCACCTGTATCATCTGATCCAAGGACTTTGAGAAGGACATCTGAGACAGAAGGAAGTCTTTCCCAGCACATAGAGAACTTCACTGGACATCATGACTTCCTCGGCACAGTGGCGTCACATGAAGCACCTGCAACAAATTCAAATTTCAACACAAACTATTACACCCATAACAATATTGGAAATTCTAGTTCAGACTATGTTTATCAAAGGTACTACATGGAAACACCATGGCAAACTGATGGAGAAGAAATGGAAAAGGATTACCTGCCAAAATGTGAAACCAGTGCCATCTCAGACTTTGCTACAGATGGATTAACATCATCCGGATCTTTTCCAATGGATTTACAAGGACTTAAGCAAGACTGTGGAATGCTAGCTACATCATTTATTGAGGACTATTCAGATGTCAGTAGCTGCTCGGATGCAGATGTTGGTGAAACAAGGCCCTCTTGTAAATTCATGACAACTAATTCAGTTCCAAAACCTATAACCGATGTTGGTACAAAACACAGCTTATCCGACTGGCTTTTCACTCACACTGGAAATATGTGTTCGACTGAGAGTCTATGCCCCGATATATCAGACACTAATGTAATTTTGCCAAGACCATCAAATGGGGAGGCAAGAGAAAACATAGTTGAATGTTCACAAGATAAGATAGGAAGTCTAGAAAAAGCTTGTAAATCTTATACTGGACATGATCAGTCCTGTACTACTGCTAGCATGGTAACAACTACAGGGAGTGAAACTGCAGAGGATAGAAATTATAGTGATGGTTGTCAGAAACAAAAGGAGGATGTGGAGACAGATCTTGCACAAGTGGAGCATTCTTTTATCATGATAAACAGTGATGAAAACTTGATTGATGATAGAAAAGAGGAGTATCCAGATGGCAGCAACAAGGAGCAGATAATTGCAGCTGCTCCAAATATTATCGCTACATTTGACAATGAGCAAGATCACTTTGAAGAAAAGGTCTCAACAAAGGAAAACATGGCATTTGATAATGTCAACCCCACACACAGTCAAGATAGAATTATGAGAGAAGATGAGCAAGACGCTAATGCAGTCCTAAAGATGGACGGAAAAGAATCTGCTTCATTAGAAGATAAGATTTTTGATGAGCAGAAATCCCTAAATGCCAACTCTTCTGATCAAGATGAAAATATGGAATTTAATTATCAGGAAAAAGATATTACCTCTCAATCTTCAGATCCATTGAGTATCAAGGTGTCAGATTTTAAAGATGCTAATCAAGAACTAAGGGAATGCACAAGTACCTTGAAAAACAGTCATGAATCTGATTCTTGTTTGCAGTTACTTGAACATCAGTCTTACAAAAGTTTAACTCAGGATAATAATTGTAGGAGCCCTACTGTGACGTTTGATGGTCATTTGAGCAATGCCAGCGACAGCAGTGAGCAAAGTGTTGCTAGTCATGCAGAATCCTGCTCACAGCCAAATGGCTCAGTCACAGACCCAACTCCCTGTCTAAAACAAGATGGGACAAGTACAGGAATGAAAACAAACACCATTTCTTCTACAGATCCAGATTGTAGTGGTTCTAGTGTCACCAGTGACAGTCTTTCTATTGATACAAGTGACAAGAGTGAGCAAAGTGTTGCTGATCATCCAGAATTTGACTTAAAGACAACCAGGTCAAACACATACACGAATCCCTGTCTAGAAGAGGAACTGACAGATCCAGGAGAGTGGACAAGTGCAACTCTGTTCACAGACCCAGAGGGAAGTGGCCCTGCTGTGTCTAGTGACAATACCGAACAAAGAGTCTACAGTCATGAAGATTTCAGCTTGCAGGCAAACGACTCCACCGCAGACCTAAATCCCTGTCTAGAAATGGGTTGGGCAAGTACAAAAAAGAAGACAAACACCACTTCTTCTACAGTTCCAGATTCTAATGGGTTTGATGGCTCTCTTTCTAATGAAACTAGTGACAACAATGAGCAAAGCGATGCTGAGCATCTGGAATTGAACTTACAGACAGACAGCTCAAGCACAGACATACCCTGTCTAGAAAAGGAAATGACAAGATCACCAAAGATGACTACAACCTCTTCTACAGATTCAGATTGTAGTGGCTCTGCTGTCACTAGTGACAGTCTTTGTAATGAAACTAGTAAGAAGAATGAGCAGAATGTTTCTGATTGTCTAGAATTTGGCTTACAGACAGATAGCTCTAACACAGATACAAATCTCTGTGGAGTAAAGGAAATGACAAGTCCACCAGAGAAGAAAACCTCTTCTACAGATCCAGATTGTGCTGGTCCTGGTGTCACTTGGGGCAGTCATTCTGTTGATTTGAGTGACAACAACAAGCAAAGTGTTGTTAGTTATCTAGAATCCTGCTTACAGTCAGATGGCTCGACCACAAACAAACTCCTCTGTGTAGAAAATGAAATGATGAGTCCAGCAAAGAAGACAAATACATCTTCTCTCATTGATCCAGAATTTAGTAGCCCAGCTGTGACTAGTGACTCTAATGTGCAAAGTGTCCCTAATACTTTAGAATCCTGCTTACAGTCAAATGCCCCAACCACAGACACAAATTCCTGTCTGCAAACGAAAAGACCCACAGATAATGCAAATGCAACTTTGTCTTCAGATCAGCAACAGTCACTGCAAAATCGATTGGCCCTAGAAGCAGAAGGTCTTGGTGGAGATATTGCTGAAAATGCAAGGCAGTCATTTGAAAAGTTGGACACATCTAAACAAGGACAATCTGTGCCTGGCATTCTATATGGTGAACCTCTTTCAGCAGAAGATTCTTCATGTGACACAGATGACACAGTACCTGGCACAGGTCTGTATAAAGAAATGTCTGTAGATATGCCTGACAGTAACAGCACGGACAATTCAAAAGCTCAAGAACCTCAACTAGAATCTTCTAGACAACTGGGAAAACATCTGCATCCTGTTGTAATGTTGAATACCTTGGAGCCTGTAAATAGGATAAGTAAATTGTATCGCTGTGCTGAATGTCAACAGACAACCCATAATGTAGATCATCTAATTGAGCACCACTATTGTTGCCATTCAGTGCATGATTTTCAGTATTGCATGACATGTAATCTCTATGTGATGAGGAATGAACAAGCCGAGAAACATTTGTGTGGCGTAATCAAAGAAAGCCCTCAGGTATTTTCTGATTGTAGCCCACAGAAGGAAAAAAAACGCCACAGCTGCGTTAGGTGCGGAATCAAATTTCCAAAATTGATTCAATATATTAGCCATATGCGTGGACACACTGGCAAAACGCCATACAAGTGTAATAAATGTGGATTATATTTTGCACAGCACTGTTCCCTGTCAAGACACAAGCATATTCCTGGCAGATGCAAGCTGGCAAAACATCCAGTGACAAATTACGATGCTGTTACCAGTGAAACCAAAACACCACCAAAAAAGGATTTGGTACAGGACAAACCATATGTAAATCTGCCTGAATGTTATATCAAGCTTGTTGACTTCACCAAGACTAACATGTGTAGATTATGTGGTAAAAGCTTCTCAACTGTAGATGAGACTCAAAAGCACTTCTACAATGCACATAAGGGGAAAGGTTTGTCAGTTTCGTTAAATCAGGGTTCCACAAACATCAGTGGTAAGGAAACTCCAAAGGCAGAGAGGGAGACGAGAGGAAAGTATAATTGTCCTCTTTGTCCACGGTTTTTCAAGTACTCCTACAACAGGGCTCGACACTTGCGTGACTGTGTTAAAGAGTCAATATATGGTGGCAAGAAAACAGTTGATGGTAAATATTGGTGTCCCTTGTGCCACACTACTTTCACTTTACCATCCAACCGATATAGACATATTCAAACAATTTGTCTGAAAGAATGTCTTAATCGGCTTGCAAAGGAGAGGGCAAAAACCAGGCAAGATACGGAACAACTAAAAATAAAGGACACTGAACAGAAAACACAGTTCAAATCGGTCGGTGAACAAAAAAAGCAGCCTAAGGAAAACGAACAGAAAAAACAAGCACCCCCAGCAATAACAGCCCCCAAGACTTTTCCACGTTACAAATGCAATCTTTGTCCAGCGGTTTTTTCTCATGCTTCTGGAAAATACAGACATATGAAAAAACATGAGCTGTTTAAACTAACTGGCAAAATGTTCAGGTACAGGAATTCAGTGTTCACTGCTATGTGTAAACCTGCAACTTTAAGTAGTATGGAGAATGAAAAGATTAAGGAAAACTTAAAACCAGCTGAAGCAAATAGCAGTCTTGCACTGAGCTGTCGTTTCTGTGAAAAAGGTTTCAGCACATCACAGTCACTGAAGAAACATGAGAGCAGTCATCGAGGTGAAAGACCATATTGCTGTCTGGAATGTGGAAAAAGATTCAAGAAACGTTCTGGTTTGATTGGTCATAAAATTGTTCATCAGAGGAGGATACAGTGCACTGTCTGCAGAAAGATTCTTCCAACTATTGGAGAACTGATCCAGCACAGAAAGTCACATCTCAAGAGAGGAAAGCTTCAATGTCCAGACTGTCATCTGCAGTTCCAGTATCCTGCATATCTTCTTAGGCATCTAAACAGCCACCGAAATAGAGAAAACAAGGCACCTCACCTTGAAGAGAGCCCAGCACTGAAACCACACCAGCCCTTGGAATCTGTGAAAGAGCACAGTAAACCAAAGCAGCTGCACTGTTCCTTATGCAAAGATGTATTTAATGATGCCCAAGTACTAAGAAAACATTGTTTTACACATATATCTGAGTCCTCATCAAACCAATGTCCATTTTGCAAACTTACTTTCCGTATTCGCCGAAATTTGCTGCGCCACATGATCAAACATACTGGAGACAAACCCTTTTCCTGTGAAAACTGTGGAAAACAGTTTTACCGTGACTGTTATCTTAAATTTCACAGTCAGAGGTGTTCACATGCTCATACTAGACATCTTGTCACAATGGACGCGAAGATGAAGACTACAACACAATATCAGTGTTCCTATTGTCCACGGAAGCTTACCAAGAAAAGAGATCTGAAAGGTCATCACCGTGCCCACAAAAGAAACACCCTGCTTTTATGCTCAAGGTGTGGGCAGTATTTTGGATTTACAAAATTAAATCAACATCAGAGGAACTGTGTGGGGACAGTGGAACTCAACACTGGCTCTCCTGATGGCAATTTCAGTAAAAGGACTTCACTGACAAACCAGAATGTCCATAAAATATCTTTGCAGTCCAGTGCAACAAAGAAGCTCCAGTTGAATTGCCCACACTGTACACAGAAATTCAGGTACAGGTCATTACTCCTGAGACACCTTGTTTCACATACTGGTGTGCAACCTTATGCATGCATGCACTGTGGTCACAGGTATGGCAGTCAGACTATGTGTTTGCAGCATGAAGCTTTCTGTGATGGAGTTTACAAAGAGGAGCCATTAAAAGTCAAAAGTGATGCTGCAGCAAAACTGTCCAACATGCCTACTCATGCCGAGGCTGCACAGAAGCCCCAAGTAGAAGGTGACGCTGAGTATAAGTGTAAATTCTGCACCAAGACTTTCATGAAATCACGAAACTTGAGGCATCACATTTTAACACACAATGAAGTGAAGCCTTATCGCTGTAAAGGCTGTGACAGCTGTTTTTCAAGATATGATCATCTGAAAGTACATCAGACTCGTTGTAAAGGGAAAAGACGACGACTAGAAGTCTGTATTCCCAAAATCAGTTTAGATGATGTTGGTAAGGGTTGGCAAACAAAGTGTGGCATTGCACCTGCCAAAAAGCCGGAGACATTTGAGTGTGAAGTCTGTTCAAGAAGCTTCCCAACTAAGTCTAAACTTTCCCGACATAACACATTGTTCCATACTGCAAAACTATTCAAGTGCACACACTGTGGCTCATCATTTGCTCATGAAAAATCTCTGAAAAAGCATAGAAAGAGGACCAAGTGCAAAAAAGCCTCCGGTGAAACAAGTGTTTCTGTGCCACTGGAAACTTATCAATCAACGGAAAATGTACCAAAACCACTGTATGGGGTGAAAAATCAAATTCTACAGAGGATCAAGCCTTGTTTTAACAAAAAGTACAAATATGTATGTAGCTATTGCCCCCGTGCTTTTGGAACTGCCTGGCAATTAGGCATCCACACCCGCCTGCACACAGGAGAGAAACCATTTTCCTGTGACTATTGTGGTGAGAGATTTATAAGGAAGGATTATGTGCAGCGTCATCACCCAAAGTGCCCCAAGAAAGAACAGCAAAATAACATTCTCTGTGATAAATGTGGAGAGGTTATCTCCAAAGTTCATCTTGAAAATCACAAAAAAAATTGCACTTTACCTCAAATTTCATCCAAGTCTACAGTTTGCCAAAGCCAACAGTCAGCCTCTCAAATCCCACCAAAAGGCTTTTCTTGTGCATACTGTAGTTCCCGGTTTTTGCTGTTTTCAAAACTCCAAGAGCATTTTTTAAATGCGCACAAGTTGGAAACAACGGTTCCACCAGTGACTACTGCACCCCTACAACACCATTTATCAAATGTACCAGACATCAAAGAAGAGCCTTCTGAGGAGAGTTGTGATGAACGGCGTAGGGAAGATGCTAATTTAATCTGTGAATTAGATACAGCTCTTGATCATGAGGTACACAAACAGTTTTACTGCCAAGAGTGCAATTTGTTCTTTGCAAGTAAACCTGGACTAACTTCTCATCTGCGTGGACATGCAATGGAGTCTCCTTTTAATTGTAAATTATGCCATAAAGGCTTCTGGAATAAAACACTTGTCCGTAATCACTACAGGAAATGTAGGTTTGGACATACTTCAGAAGGGAATACAGTAAGACAGGAAGCCCCTTTGAAAGCAGAGATTGACTTTGCACTGAATGACTCTGTTCTAGTGTTCAAAGAACACTCTAAAACAACTGGCACTGGGGTTTTGCAGACCAACTTTTCCTGCAAAGATGACTTCATGGGTGAATCTGCACCAAATTCAGAGGGAACCCAGGTGCAAAGCTCAAGTAATGTGAAGAAAGTTGTGCAGTACCAATGTTCAGAATGTGATAAGAGCTTCACAGATGGCTTATTGCTCATTAGTCACCTTGAAGACCATGGAAGGCAGGAACAAGAGAAAAAATGCAAAACATGCACTAAGTGTGGGCGGGTGTGTGATACTCGAGAACAACTTGAAAGACACATGAGGTTGCATGGCATTATTAAGGAATACCCCTGCCCTGACTGCCCCAAGGTGTTTTATATCTTATCTGATCTTAAAATCCACAAAACATGTCATGACTCAAATAGACCTTATGCCTGCAAACTGTGCACTCAGAGGTTTTGGACAAGACCATCTTTATATAATCATTACATGGAAGACCACCCAGCTGATACATTTACTTGTCATTTCTGTAACAACAGCTATTCAACTAAAAATTCATTGGCAAGACACTATAAAAAATGGCATCAAAAAGAGCAGAAGGAGTTTGAGAGTATGGTACAAGAAAAGAGCAGCACTGAACAGCAAACTACCAGTCATGTCAGTACAACTGGTGAAAGTGATACAGATGAAAATAGCAGTGAGGACAGTGACTCGGACTCTGCACCATACTTCCCATGCCATGTGTGTGGCAAGACATTCCCAACATCAGAAAGTCTTGAAGATCACCAGCGATGTCACCTGGGTGAAAAACCACATGAATGTGAGGAATGTGGGAGATGTTTTTTCCAGGCATCCCAGCTGCAGCAGCATCAACGAATGCACCAGTCTGAATTTCAGTGTCAGGCATGTGGCAGGGGATTTGTGTCTCTCTTTGCACTGCGTAAACACAAGCATACTCATGGAAAGAGCCGTCCATACCGTTGTACTAAGTGTGACTTCAGTTTCACAGGACCCTTGCAACTGGCAGAACACATGTCTACCCACCGTGAGGAGAACTTTCCATGTGACATATGCAGTCATGTGTTTCTCTCCAAGGCTAGTAGAGCTGAGCATCGAAAAAGCCACTCTCAATCGGTTGACCAACCCCCACCTTCAGTATCAAGAGAAGAACATGAAAAGTCTTCTTCAGTGTCTGATGACTCATCAGCATTCACCAATGAACTTAAATATCGCTGTGGTGTTTGCAATGAGCGTTTCAGAGACCCAGAGGAGCTCTCAGAGCATGGTTGTGCGGCAGCCAATGAGCGACTGTACTCGTGTTCAGACTGCAATAAACATTTCCTGCATGCATCTCATCTGAAAAAGCACAGGACTACCCATCAGCTGTCATCGTCAGTTAGTGAATATCCATGTAATCAATGCAACAGTAGTTTTGCTTCACCTCAGCACTTTCTCAGCCATCTTAAGACGCATGTTGACACTGCAGCAGAAATTAAAGGCAACATTGAAGGTGAAGATGGAGGACCTTCACAGGGTTTCATATGTCCAGTGTGCCATCAGTGTTTTGCTAGTGCTGCTGAACTGAGTTGTCATTTTCCCACACATTCTGATGGTATATTTAAATGCAAAATTTGCAAAAAGACATTTTCTTCTCCAAGCAAGCTTGAAGAACATGCATGCCACCATCTGACATTTGAATGTACAGAATGTGGCCAGTGGATTTTGGGAAGCGATGCTTTCCACCAGCACTGCTATTTCCATCAGAAGCAGAAAGTAATAGAGACCAAATGCTCCAATCCATCAGCTAAGGCATCCCCTCCAACTCGCTATCAAGCAGCAGGAGAGGAGGAGGAGATTGACGTTATTGGAGAGGACTTGTTCAATTGCTCTGTTTGTTCAATGCAGTTCTTTTCCAAAAGTGGTCTCCTGGAGCATCAAAATAAACAGCACTTAAATGACAAGCCATTCAGGTGTGAACTTTGTGGAAAAAAGTTTGCCTTGCGGCGGTACCTTAGAAGGCATGAGCAAAGACATCGCCTAAAATCAGTTCAGTCATCTGAAAATGAGTTCAGATGCAACCAGTGTCACACCAAATTTAACACAGCTAAAGATCTGTCTTTGCATATGAAAAGGCATGCTGAAAAAAATGTCGGAGAATACCGCTGTGATATGTGTTACAAGTCATTTAGCCATTGGTCTCTTCTTAAGCAGCACCAAGAGAGTCATGTTGGCCAAGTCGTATACGAGTGCACTGAATGTGACAAAGCTTTTGCTTTTCCTCACCTACTGGAGGAACATCAACAGAGTCATGCTGGTTCCTCTCAGTAATGCCTGTTAGATACCATCTACTTTATCATTTATTTAGAATAGCTGTAGTTAAAGTATCTTGAAATCCCTCTCATGCCTTACACGTGACTCTATACCTCCACTTGTAATCACGGTTTAGGTTACATTTGTATTTTGGTCCTTGTTGCATACTTATGAAGCTCTTGGCTCATGTCACTGTAACAGCATCCTCTTGAGTTCTATTGCTAATGTATATATTTTTATTTCTAGTATTGGGATTTGTATACAGTAAATTAGCCACATAGTTTCTTGACGGTGTTTTGTAAATCTGACATTTATGTAAAGTTCTTCAGCATTCTGTAATGAGAAGAGAGAAAGCATGATGGGATATGATGATTATGGAATGCCTTGTATAGAGGCTGAAAATTTTGATCAGTTATGTATAACATTTATTTTGGAAAAGCTTTTAGTCAGTTTTGTTGACAGTATGTACATTAGGCTGCAACCTGGTCATTTTAATCTGTTTGTATTTTCTATGGTATGGCTGTTCATGTACAGTACAATAGATAATTTTCAAATTTTCAGTTTATCATTTTTCTGTTTACTGTGGATTGAAACTTTTGATATTGATAAGTATCTTTTACAGGTGTGAAAAATGTTCTAATTGAATATTCATTTCACAACATGAGGATGGTACTTTTTGGAAAAAAAGAGTTGATTAATTCAATTAAAGTCAACTAAAAAATCAATGTGTGGGTCTTGTTTGTACTTTGTACTTTTAGGAAAACTAACTGAAATGAAGCTAAGGAAATATCAAGTTAAGAAAAACATTACTTAATTTAACTAAAATAATTGATGGAACAAGTTTCACTAAGAACTAACATGATGGGGCTTATTGAAGCCTCTGAGGTGCATCATTTTAATTCAAAGACCTGAAGAGTTGGATACAAGAGAAGAAGCTGCAATGTTGACACCCACTGAATAGTGCATATACAGTGCCTCGCAAAAGTATTCATACCCCTTGAATTTTTCCACATTTTGTCACATTACAACCACAAACTTAAATGTATTTTAATGGGATTTTATGTGATAGACCAATACAAATTATTGCTTAATTGTGAAGTGGAAGGAAATGATGCGTGGTGTTCAAGATTTTTTACAAATAAAAATCTGAAAAGCTGGGCGTGCATATGTATTCAGCCCCGTTGAGTCAATACTTTGTCGAAGCACCTTTCGCTGCAATTAGAGATGCAAGTCTTTTGGGGTATGTCTCTACCAGCTTTGCACATCTAGAGACTGCAATTTTTGCCCATTCTTTTTTGCAAAGTAGCTCCAGTTCAGTCAGATTGGGTGGAGAGCGTCTGTGAACAGCAGTTTACAAGTCTTGACACAGATTCTCAATAGGATTTAGGTCTGGACTTTGAGTGGGCCATTCTAACACATGAATATGCTTTGATGTAAACCATTCCATTGTAGCTCTAGCTGTATTTTTAGGGTCGTTGTCCTGCTGGAAGGTGAACCTCCGCCCCAGTTCCAAGTCTTTTGAAGCTTCTAACAGGTTTTCTTCCAGGATTGCCCTGTATTTAGCTCCATCCACCTTTCCATCAACTCTGACCAGCTTCCCTGTCCCTGCTGAAGAAAAGCATCCCCACAGCATGGTGCTGCCACCACCATGTTTCACGGTGGGGATGGTGTGTTCAGGTTGATGTGCAGTGTTAGGTTTCCGCCACACATAGCGTTTTGCATGTAGACTTAAAAAGTTCAATTTTGGTTTCATCTGACCAGAGCACCTTCCACGTTTGCTGTGTCCCCTACATGGCTTGTGGCAAACTGCAAACAGGACTTCTTATTGCTTTCTTTCTTGCCACTCTTCCATAAGAGCCAGATTTGTGGAGTACATGACTAATAGTTGTCCTGTGGACAGATTGTCCCACCTGAGCTGTGTAAATGCGTTCTGTAATACCTGTGGTACAAGAAGTATTCAGATTCTTAGGTAAAAAGAGCAATATCACATTGTGAAAGTACTCCACTACAAAGTCCTGCATTCAAAACCTTAAATCACAGTGTGGAAGTATTATCAGCAAAATGTACTCAAGTATCAAAAGTGAAAGTACTCATAATATAGAAAATGGTCCCTGTCCGTGTTTTACTGTTATGTATGATGTTTTTGGATTAAAATGACTGCTGCATTAATTTATATGTTGTACTTTAATGCTGAAGCATTTAAGATTGGATCAATTTTGACCATTCTATATACTATAGGCAGCTTCATCTGTAGAAATGCATTATGTTCAACATTATAAGTAAAACATTTTCAATGGACAGGAAGGGTATGAAAGGTTATCATTTAGAACGTTATTGATTTGATTTGATTTATTTATTTTTTCAAGCATGTAAAGATAGTTGATATGTCAACACACATAATTTTACACATATCCAACAAATGCTAATCCAATATCAATTTGCTTATACCTAGTACATGCTTGAATGGAGTAGGAAGAAGTCAGACTTATCCAGTCCTTCCCCCTGACATCATCTTACCATCATTGGTTTGCAAGCAGTATCTCTACATAAATAATTATCTTCTACACCACACAAGTAATATACTAAAAAAATTATAACAGAGTGTTAACATTCTTACATAATTACATTCTTAAATAATTATCTTCTACACCACACAAGTAATATA